GAAAGAAGAATCAAAGGTGGCACCTAGTCTTGAGTTCTGAGCTTCCAGAGCGAGGCATCTAGAAGTCAGGACCCGGGAGAATCACGGAAGGAGTGGTGGTATTCAGTCTGCAGAAGCAGTGCCTCCAGGACGGCTGTGTGAAAGAGGAGATGCGATATGAGCAGATGAAAATGACACAGCAGGCAGCTCTGGGCTCATTGTGAGAAACGACTCTAGGAACATGTGTGACCTGCTGGGCTCTACTGCCAAGGGCTGCCTTAAGCCATGAAGCTGCAGAGGCTGGGTGACCACCGTCCCACAGTGAGGAAGCTGGGCGATTCCTTACCAGAGTAGAGGTCTGGCTAGATCTCCCAGCCCTAACATGCTTACTTATTTTGATAAGCAAAGCTAAAGCTCACATGGGTCCCATGCGCTCTTGGACTTCTGCACACCGTACCATTAACCACACTTGGATGCTGGCAATCGCAGTTTTAGTTAAATAAAGTGACTTGCCCACCGTACTATAAAAAATTAATTTTGGCAGCATGTTGATTCTGTATCCTACCCATAAGACCACACAGAGGCGTGGCTAGTAAACTTTAGCTTGTGCGTAAATGCCTGCCAAGAACTGCTAAATACTGTTGCTTTAAAAAAAAAAGAAAAAGAAAAAAACTTTTTTTTTTTTTTTTTAATTTAAATTTCACAGAGCTGCTCAAGGGCAGTTCAACTTCCTACTCATCCCTGTCTCCACCGGCCAGGACTGGCATTACTCTAACATCTGTCCTATGGCCACATTTTATGGGATGTTTGAGGATTATTCCTATGAAGTGACATTGGAATTTGGGGATATGGCTATCTTCAGATGCCAAATAAACTTGGATAGAAATCATTTTTCCTGTGTGTGTTTAGTTAGGAACGTGGGGCTGTGAGGGGCTCCCTGGACATGACCCTGGAGCTGTCGGCCCTTGTTCAGTGGTCAGATGCACTTCAGACCTCCCAGACTGCTGACCACACACTCAGTCACAGCCCCGTGTGCACCTCAAGGCCACTGCTCAGAAGTCCAGTGTAATTTCTCAGGCAGCACGTCCTAGAGCAGGCCATGAGAGGTGTAAGGTATAGACTTTGTTGTGAGGTTACATGTAGGCTTCTCTTCTATCTTGTCTCTGTTTAAAGATCAATACTTCAGGCAGTCTTTATCCCCACCACGATAAACATGTGGATGGAAGGATACATGTGTGGATGGGTGGATGGGTGGGTGGATGGATGGATGGGTAGATGGGTAGATGGGTGGATGGAGTGATGTTTGATTTCATAGTCAAAGAACTCAAACAGAAGAGAAGTACACAGGGTCCCCCAGTCTTACAACCCTTCCTTAAAGTAACTACAATAAAGATGGAAGTGTATCTTCTAGATTTCTTTTAAAAACGTATTTATGAATGTAAACATATTATGGTCAGGTCCAGTGACTCACACCTATAATCCTAAAACTTTGGGAGGCCAAGGTGAGTGGATTGCTTGATGCCAGAAGTTTGAGACCAGCCTTGGCAACACAGAAAGATCCTGTCCCTACAAAAAAAATTTTTTTTAAGTAGCCTGGTGTCGTGGCACATGCCTGTAGTCCTAGCTACTCAGGAGGCCAAGGTGGGAGGATCACTTGAGGCCAGGAATTCCAGGCTGCAGGAAGCCATGATCATACCACTACACTCAAGTCTGGGCAATGGATCAAGATCCTGTCTGTTTAAAAAAAACAAAAAGCATATTTACATAGAAATAAATGTATATAAATGTAGATATTGTTTAGGGATTTGTTTTTATATAAATTGGAGAGTCACATGTTTTTTCATGAGTTTTTATTTAACCCTATGTCTGGAAGATCCTTCCAGCTTAACACATATACAGCTACTTCATTCTTTTTAACCATTGGGAGGTATGGTAATTAATTTATGTTAATAAATTAATGTCTTTCTGTTATTTTTATTCTGCTATTGTATTTATTTATTTATTTAAATATTTATTTATTTATTTTAGAAACAGGATGTCACTGTGTTGCCCAGACTGGCCTCAAACTCCTGGGCTCAAGCAGTCCTCCCACCTCAGCCTCCCAAGTAGGTGGGACTACAGGCATGAACCCTGCCACACGGCTGACTTCTGCTATTTTAAACTCGTGTGTGTGTGTGTGTGTGTGTGTGTGTGTGTGTTTTCTAATTGAACAATCTGAATTCAATTTTAAGAGATTTTCTTGAGCTACAGTTATTCTAGCCCAAGCCTGGGCACATGAAGATTTCTGTAAAATAGATTCAAAGCAGTGGAATTACTGTACCCTAGGATATGTGTACTTACATTCTGATACACAAGGCTGTACCAGTTTACACTATCACTAACAGTATATAAAGTCCTATTTCCTATGTCCTATAAATTCCTATGTCCAATACTGGACATAACCCATAGTTTCAATGTTGGGTGATCTGATTAGTTAAAAAAAAATAGATCTCATTAATTTGTAATTCCCTGGCTACTAAATTCCTAATGACTCTGAGTATCTTAGGAGATTTATCATTCATGAATTGCCTGTCCTGATCCCTTGCCTCTTTTGAAATTGGGTTATTTATCTTTTTCACCCTGTTTAACAGCCATGCTTATGTAATACGGACATTAAACTTTTGCTGTAAATGTTACAAAATTCTGTCTCTTTAACTGTGCTGATGGTGACTTAAGTATTACCAAGTTTTTAATTTTTAACTATTATTTTTTATAAAATTAAACACCTCTTTTCCTCCATGGCACATACACTTAGTGGTTTTGCTTAGAAAGGTCTTCCTCACCCTCTGAGCTTTAAAAATAATCTCATGTTATTCTATTTATAGTTTTAAAAAATATTTAGACCTTTAATGCATCTGCATTTCACTTATTATATAATGTGAGGGGACCATGTCGTTTGTAATAACTCATTTATTGACATTGACTTATAATGCCCCTGTGAGTCCTCTCTTACATTCCCACATGGTGTGGGCGTGTTTCTGGTTATTCTCGTCCATTGATCTGTTTGTCTATTCCGTGCTAACTTCTATTTTACTGCTGTAATTATACAGACTGTTTTGATATCTGGTATGTCAAATTTTTTCTCATTTCTTTTTTAAAATCATTTTCCTATGCATTTTTTTTTCTTTCCCATAAACTTTAGAATAAACGTGTCCTTTTCTTTTTTAAAAGTTTGAAATTTGGGGATTATACTGAATTTTTAGATGAATTTGCAAAGAGCATCATTTTTTCTGCATTTTTTTTTCTGGTTTTTCAAAACTGACACCTAGTCAGAAAACTAAGTGTAAAAATTGAATCCAGAGAATTTTCACAGCCTGGAAGAACATACAGATGTGGCTGAATGACTTATAACCTGAGTATCGGGAAAGGCTTCCACCTACCTATGACTCAAAAGCCAGATGCAATAGAAAAAGTGTTGATATAATTTGAATACATAAGAAATTGAAACTTATACACGGCAAAAGTTTGCATAAGAAAAGTCAAGCCAGGTGTGGTGTGTTATGCCTGTAATCCCAGCACTTTGGAGGACTGAGGCAGGAGGATTGCTTGAGCCCAGGAGTTTGAGACCAGCCTGGGTAACAAAGTGAGACATTAGCTCTACAAAAAATCCAAAAATTAACTGGGTGTGGTGGTGCACACCTGTAGTCCTGGCTACCTGGGAAGCTGAGGCTGGAGGATCACCTGAGTTCAGGAGACTAAGGCTGCAGGGAGCCACGTTTGCACCAATGCACTCTAACCTGGGTGACAGAGCAAGATCCTATCTCAAAAAGAGAAAAAAATGTGAATCATGATAATACCTGCTTCACTGTTGTGGAGAGTAGTATGCCTAGTACTAATAATAATTGTTATACACAATGTTATTAACTGTATCATTTCTTATATATATAAGCTATCACAAATGTTAGTGTTCCTCCCTTCTGAAATTCACCTGAGAGTCCCTCACTGGCCCAGGCCTCCTGGGTAGAGGCACATTTATATTGAGAAGACAACAGTTACATTCTGGGACACTATCTTGAGCTGTAACTAAGATAAGTCATTTTTTTTCTTCCATTTAAGAAATATTTATAGAATAAACCCATTTTTTCTTTTTTGTACCATACCACCAGTATAGCTTTCCACCTTCTATCACTCTTCTGTGTGACTTCTTAAGTTCCTTCAAATGTAACTCTGTAATTGTAATTCTATAATCACACAATCATTGTGATTCTTTAATTGCAGTTGATTGATTTAATCTACCTTATCATCCAATCATGCTGACAGTGGACTTCATTCCTTTTTTTTCTAACAGTAGGAGTAGAACGCAGTGCAGGACACTGGCCAGGACGGAGGAAAGAGGGAGGGGTCGTTTCCGCCAGCTGCCAGGATCACTTGTGCTGATCCTTCAGCTGCACCTGCAGCGCTATCCTGGACCAGGTGCAACTTGTAATTTTCGTAAAATAGTCGAGTTTCAAACTGATGGGACTGTAGAGCTCCTTTAATTTGAGCCATGAAGAACTGAGTTTTAGGAAGTATGCTTATTCACTTGGTATTCCATAAAAAATACCTATGCTGGGTAGATAGGATGGCACGGCCCACCTCTCACTCTTGGTGTCACAGTTAAAACTCATTTATGTATTTCTTTATCCTCTGCCTTATGCCGAGAGTATTGGAAGTGGTGAGCTAAGATTAGAGAACTCCTGTGTCACAGACTGGCAGGCTTCCCACCCTGCCCACCGAGTGTTCGGCCACAATGGAAGCGTCATCTGTGTCCTGCATCTAATGGGACTGGCCAGTGTGACTGAGACCTGAATGTTTCGTTGTATTGAATTTTGTTTCATGTTAATTTAAATCAAGTTATGTGTGCTCTGTGGATGGGGGGCCTATGGACAACACAGCTCTTGACCGTTTGTTTTTAAATATAGTTTCATGTACATACAAACAGGTTATCACTTTCCTGTGTGGCTAGCTATTATGAATGCTAAACTGCTTTTCCCTCTCTCTAGATTCCATCACCCAGCACAAGGTCTGTGCCTCTGAAAACTACCTATTGCCACAATGACAGTGACCTCACTGGCCTGTGGTGACTGCACAGCTGGCAAAACCGTCTTTGGATATTCAAGTGAGAAACAATTGTGAAGAGAAGGAACTGGCGTATACAAGATGACTTTTGATATCATGTTTGCCACGCGTTGTGGTGCTTAAGAACTCTCAGGTGACTTTCTGATGACTGAATTTGTGTTTCAGAGAAGCTTCGGGCCTTTTTTTTTTTTTTTTTTTTTTTTTTGAGATGGATTCTTGCTCTGATTCCCAGGCTGGAGTGCAATGGCACAATCTCGGCTTACTGCAACCTCCACCTCCCGGGTTCAAGCGATTCTCCTGCCTCAGCCTCCCAAGTAGCTGGGACTACAGGCATGGGCCACCATGCCCTGCTAATTTTTGTATTTTTAGTAGAGACGGGGTTTCACCATGTTGGCGAGGCTGGTCTCAAATGCCTGACCTCAGGTAATCTGTCAGACCTCTTCTATAGAATTCCAGTCTTTGTATCTTAGTAACGATCATAATTGAAAGGTCACAGAACCTTTGTCATTAGAACACGGTACTGCCAAATAACGAATGGAAATTCATTGACATTATTTTATTACTGAGAACAACTAGAGAGCTCTGAAAGTTTCTTGGCTTAGAGTCGAAGATCTTTATTAATACATTACCTGTTAGGTAGGAAAGACATTTGACAGTAAGGTGACTTTAGCGGAGATTCCTCTCTTAAAGTAATGAAAGGAGATAGGTATGGGGGGTGTTATACAGGATGATTGGTGCCATCTGAGTGTCTTACTTCTGAAAGCCTGCTTTATGGTGAACAAAGCATCACCAACAAGGGATCACAACGTCCATTGGCCACATCTTGCCTGCTGTCCTCGAGAGGAAATTGGCAGCTGGGGCTGATTCACAGAAACACCGATTTGTGGCTGAGCACGGCGGCTCACACCTGTAATCCCCGCCTTTTAGGAGGCCGAGGTGGACAGATAATTGAGGTCAGGAGTTCGAGACCAGCCTGGCCAACGTGGCAAAACCCTATCTCTACTAAAAATACAAAAATCAGCTGGGTGTGGTGGCGCACACCTGTGGTCCCAGCTCCTCAGGAGGCCGAGGCAGGAGAATCGCTTGAACCCAGAAGGCGGAGGTTGTGGTAAGCTGAGGTTGCAGTGAATCAAGATTGCTCCACTGCACTCCAGCCTGGACGACAGAGCAACTCTCCATCTCAGATAAATAAATGAATAAGAAACACCGATGTGTCTGTCACCTTCTAAACAAATGAAATGCTAGGAAGTCCTAACCAGAGTGATCAGGCAAGAATAAGCCATAAAAGGCATCCAAATAGGAAAAGAAGTCAAACTGTCTCTCTTCACTGCCAATATGATTCTATACCTAGAAAACCCTAAAGACTGCCAAAAGGCTCCTGGAACCAATAAACGACTTCAGTAAAGTTTCAGGATAGAAAATCCATGTACAAAAACCAGCATTTCCATACACAATAACATTCAAGCTGAGCACCAAATCAAGAACGCAATCCCATTTCCAATAGCCATGGAATGAAATACCTAGGAGCACATGTAACCAAGGACACAAAGGATCTCTACAAGGAGAACCATAAACGAGATGCTGAGTCCCAGCGAGGTCGGAGGTGCCACTGAGCCCTCATTGTGGTGCTGGTCCCACTCCAGGTTATCTATCTGTTGCTCATCTCAGCTGTTGTCCCTACCTCCAATTTCAAGTCCCTCAACAGATACAACAGATCAACTTCTAGAATGAACCTTTGAGAAGGGACGTAGCAGTGCGTTCTATGGAAATTGGCATTCTATAGAAAACCATAGAAACTGGAAATCATGAAGGGTTTTCTCTTGGTTTTAAAATATTGTATACACCCAAATCATCCCCTCATGATACTCATCCTCTAACAGCAATTGAACTTCAATACAATGCGTCATTCCTGAGTCCACTCGCTTCACATTACATTTCTCTATAACCACAAGCATCCTGGCTTGGGAGCGCTCCCACAGCACCAGAAATCCCTGAGGAGGCTGACAAACATTCTGCTGACTCATGCTGGGGACAAGCCACAGACAACTTCCATCACCCACCACATCAGCCATGGAGCCAGCCCAGCCTCTGCCCACCCAGGCCTCAGTCCTCAATGTTAAGTTCTGATCCCTGATGCTGGCCTACCAGCGGCCAGTCAAGATTCTCTTTCTGAAAGCTAATATTTTATGAGGACTAACTGTTGCTAGACATTACTCTAAGCATATTACATGTTGTACTTCATTTTACCCTTCCAACAATCCTATTAGTAGCTTACTGTGGGTCTGCAAAGCCTTACTCAAAACATATAGGACTAGAGGTTCTCAGGATTCTGAATTCTTTTTAATTTTTTTAAAGGCTTATGGCTCTCACCACTTTTATTCAACGTTGTATTAAAGATTCTACCCAGAGAAGGCAATAAAAGGAAATTAAAGCTATACAGATTGGACGTGAAGAAATAAAAGACTTTATTCTCAAGAATATAAGACACTATATATAGAAATTGTAAGGAATGAAAAAAACCCTACAAGAACTTATAACAAGTTTAGCAAGATTGCAATATACAAAGTTAATATACAAAACTAACAGAATTGTATTTATATATAGTCAATAAGCAATTCAAAATGAAATTAAGACCATGATTCCATTTAAAATTGCATCTAAAAATAAACAAAATAGGAATAGACTTGGCAACAGAAGTGTAACATCTGTATACTGAAACCCGTAAAACACTGCTGAAAGAAGTTAAATATTTAAATAGTGAAATATACAAAGTTCATGGATTAGACGACGCAATATTGTTAAGATGGTAGTTCTCAAATTGATGTATAGATTCAATGCAATCCATTAAAATCTCAGGTGGCTTTTTTGTAGAATTTGAAAAGCTGATGCTAAATTTTTTATGAAAATGCAAAGAACCTCTAGTAGACAAAATAATTTTTTTTAAGAGCAAAGTTGCAGGATTTATAGAACCTGATTCCAAAACTGTCTATAAAACTACAATAATCACAAAGTATCAGCCAGGCACCGTGGCTCACACCTGTAATCCCAGCTCTTTGGGAGGCTGAGGTGGGTGAATCACTTGAGGTCAGGAGTTTAAGACCAGCCTGGCCAACTTGGTGAAACCTCATCTCTACTAGAAATACAAAAAACTAGCCAGGCATGGTGGCATGCACCTGTAAACTCCATTACTCAGGAGGCTGAAGCAGGAGAATAGCTTGAACCTAGGAGAGTCCATCTCAAAAACAACAACAACAACAACAAAAGTATTATATTGGCAAAAGAACAGACATGTAAATCAAATAACAGAATAGAGAATTCAGGTGTAAATCTTCATATTTATGGCCCATTGACTTTGAACAAAGCTGCCGAGGCAATTCAGTATAGTAGCATATTCTTTTCAACAAATGGTGCTGGCAGAAGGGAAAACAAAAGCACGAGGATCCTTACCTCACACCATGCACAAACATTAGCTAAACATGGACTAAGTCAGGGTTTCTCAACCTCAACACTGTTGGCGTTTGTGGGGGTGGATAATTCTTTGCTGTGGAGAGCTGTCCTGTGCACTGTAGGATGTTTAGCTGTATCCTGGCCTCTGCCTATTAGATGCCAGTGGCACCCCTCCCCCGACACATACCCGGTTGTGACAATCTACGTCTCTAGATATTCCTAAATGTGCCCCGGAGAGCAAAACTGTTTCCAGTCGAGAATCATTGACCTAATGTAAAAAATAAAATGTACAGAAGAAAGCACAGCAGGAAATCATTCTGACCTTAGGTTAGGCAAAGATTTCTTAGATATCACACTAAAGGCACAATTCATTAAAAAAATAAGTTGGACTTCGTCAAAATTTTAAGTTTTGCTCTTCTGAAGAAACCATAAAAAACAATGAAAAGACAAGCCACAGACTATGAAAAAATACTTGCAAACCATATATCTAATAAAGGACTTGTACCCACACCATGTAAAGAATTCATAACTCATTAATAAAAGGATAAAGAGAAAGCTGAAGACAATTCACGCAAGAAGATATACAAATAAGCACATTAAAATGGCCAATATTATTAGTCACTAGGGAAATACAAATTAAAGGCACAATGAAATACCTATTACACACCCACTAGAATGACTGCAAACAATAAGACTGATAATTCCAAAATCTGACCAGGATATGGAGAAACTACGATATGTAGTTTCCTACATTGCTGGCATGACTGCAAAATGATACAGCCACTTTGAAACACCATTTGGCAGTTGCTTAAAAAAGTGAACATTCAATTACCATATGACCCAGCAATTTCACTCTTAGGTATGTAACCAAAATACATGAAAACATGGATCTGCACAAGGTCTTATATACAAACGTTCATAGCAACATTATTCATAATAACCAGAAATTAGCCCATCACCTGAAAAGTAGACAAACAAAATGTATACCCACATCATGGAATGCTACTCAGCACACTTCTAAAAAGCAACAGACTACTAACACGTGCAACAACATGAATGAACCTCAGAAACACAAGTGAAAGAAGTCAGACACAAAAGACTACAGATTGTATGATTCCATTTAGATACCATTTCTACAAACCGTAAAACTGTAGAGGCACGAAACAGATTCATGGTCTCCTGCAGCTGGGGATGGGAGTGGGAAGAGGGAGCAAACATTCTGGGATGATGGAAACATTCTAAAACTGGATTGTGATTTTGGTTACACAACTGTATACATTTGCTAAAATCACTGAACAGTACACTTTTAATGGGTAAGCTTTAAGGCATGTGAATTATACATCAATAAAGCTATTTTTTAAAAAAAAGAGAGAGAGCGAGAGCTACATGGCAGCCCCAGGGCAGTAGCTCTCAGATCTCCCTTAGAGAAAGAACTATCTCTTCCACAGCGATGAGTGCAGGTAGCTAACACTCTCCAACCTGCATCTGGTAGTTCATTTAAGATCAACCTCAGCTTTCAAGTTAACGCCATGCTCTTTCTTGGCAGTCCCCAGCTAAGAAGTGGGCACAGAAAGGCAGAGGGGCCTGGCTGATTCAGCCCAACATGAGGCTCCTCACCCTAGAACTCCCTGTGGAGTTAGCCGAGCCCACATGTGACCTGTAATGTGGTCTAAGCTGTCAGACCTCCACAGTGGCGGGAAGGTTTTCCATATCTCAGCCTGCTTCTACTCCCTTTTATTTTTCCCAGGAGTCACCCTTGGTCATCTCTTACTCTTTGAACTCCATGTCAGTGTCAGCTACCCAGAGGACCCATCAGACAGAAAGTAATACGCAGATAACAGCCCAGGGGAATCTGAGCAGCACCCTGAAACCAGCGTTTCCTCAGTGAAACCTAGAACAAAAGTGGAATAAATAAAAACTACTAACAGTCTCATTTCGGCACTGGCAGTCTCACTCTGGAATCTGTTCATGCTCCCCAGGCCTATACGACAAGCTCGTTCAGCCATAACAGGGCAACTGTGAGGCTGTTGGATGGGATGATGTTGGAAGTAAATGCTCGGTGCCACCAACTGAAATTAGCACTCAGGCAAAAGTTTTCTCAGCAAGGCAATTTACCTTTATAGAAGTGTGCATCTCACAGATGGAACAATGGCAAGAGCACACTGGACAAGGGAGGGGAAGGGGGCCTTATTCCTAACACAGCTAGCCCTACTGCTATATCTTTCCCCTATTTACTAGGGTTGGACTGCACAGTCTACGCTAATTCCGATTGGCTATTTTAAAGAGAGCAGGGGTGCGAGCCAGAGTGGCAGGACGGTTACAGAACAGGAGACTAAGGATGACTAAGGACAGAACAGGTGACTAAGGATGACTAAGGACAGAACAGGTGACTAAGGACAGAGCAGGTGACTAAGCACAGAATAGGTGACTAAGGATGACTAAGGACAGAGCAGGTGACTAAGCACAGAATAGGTAACTAAGGATGACTAAGGACAGAGCAGGTGACTAAGGACAGAACAGGTGATTAAGGATAGAGCAGGTGACTAAGGATGACTAAGGACAGAGCAGGTGACTAAGGACAGAACAGGTGACTAAGGATGACTAAGGACAGAACAGGTTACTAAGGATGACTAAGGACAGAACAGGTGACCAAGGACAGAGCAGGTGACTAACGACCAAACAGGTGACTAAGGGTGACTAAGGACACAACAGGTGACTATGGATGACTAAGGACAGAACAGGTGACTAAGGACAGAGCAGATGACTAAGGTTGACTAAGGATAGAGTAGGTGACTAAGGACAGAGCAGGTGACTAACAATGACTAAGGATAGAACAGGTGACTAAAGGTGACTAAGGACAGAGCAGGTGACTAAGAATGACTAAGACCAGAGCAGGTGACTAAAGACAAAACAGGTGACTAAGGACAGAGCAGATGACTAAGGATGACTAAGGACAGAGCAGGTGACTATGGATGACTAAGGACAGAGCAGGTGACTATGGATGACTAGGCACAGAACAGGTGACTAAGGACAGAACAGGTGACTAAGGACAGAGCAGGTGATAGAGGCTAGGAGGGAGTTGTTTACTGAAACTAGGGGCAAACAGACGTAAAGAACGAGAAAGTTAAACTTTAAAGTGGAGAACAAAGAACAGCCGAACATCCTGACACATTGGTTCTTTGGAGAGGAACTCAGAGAACTCATTGTACTTAACAATTTTCTCCCTCTTAAATTTTAAAAGACATGAACAGGCTAAACTTTGAAGAGGAATTTACTGCATCCTACAGATGACAATTAATGATCAATCTTGCAATGTTTACTGAGGTCACTATCCTCAGTGCTATATGTGTTCTGTGTCCCATTGACTTCAGGGTAACTACATGGTCCTTAAACTTAGAATCAAAGTATTTCCATGAGACCTTCCTTAATAGACATTTGTTCTCAGCCTTCTTTCAATAGCAACATCCTTTGTTCAAATGAGGATGCACAAAGAAATACAATAGGTAAAAACATGGTATCAGGACTGCTCTCATTAAGCTGGCGTGGGAGGTGGTCACACGAGGGTTTCAGATCCTCACCCAAGGATCTCATCTTTCTCTGTACAAGGGTAAGCTGCACAGTGCCTTTGTAGATACTTCTGAGATTGCCTGAAACCTGCTGGTCTGGCTCAGTCTCTCCTATCACTGACAAAGAAGCCGAGACCTCGAAAGTCATGCCACCCATGAGCAGTAACTCATGCAAAGAATCGCAATACCAGAACTCCTGACCCACAAGGCTTCCTCTCTGTGCACCCAAGATGTCCCAAACCGAAATGGTCTATGCACGATGGAGAACTTTGATCAAACTCGGAAAACGTCTTCGAAAGTGAAACGCAGCACATTGCAGAGATGTCACAAATGAGACTTCCTTTGACGGTCCCTGAGAGCGTCTTTGTGTTCCTTATAGCTGCTCCCATTATTTTGGGCAGACATTGGCACAGTCTTTGATGAAACATTTTTCACCTTGAATTACAGTAAATGTTATCTCATGTTTTTGGAAATGCCATCTAAGGACTTAAGAGATATCATTGCTAGATAATTGTTTATAATCATGCCCCTTATAATTTCATTTGAAGATTATATGAGAAAAATCTAAGCATACCAATTTAATAAAGGATTTGGACAAATGCATCTCAAACTTTAATACAAATGCAGATCACCTGGGGATATTGTTAACTGGTAGATTCTACTTCAGTACATCTGGGGCTAGAAAGGCTGCATTTCTCTCCCCTCCCCTCCCCTCCCCTCTCCTCCCCACTCCTCCTTCCTTCTCTCTCTCCTCTCTCTCTCTCCTCTTTCTTTCAAGATAGGTCTCCCTCTGTTACCCGGCTGGAGTACAGTGGCATGCTCATGGCTCACTGCAAAGGTTGTATTCTACAAGCTCTCCAGTGATGTTGATGCAGTTTCAGTAGCAGGGAGTTAGAATACTCGATAGGATATTATAAATGTATATTTCATTTACTTCTGCACAAGATGTAATGTCTTGTTAAACCAAATTGCTATTTTTTACAGTGTTGCAAATACCTTGTGAGATTCTTATCAAGGTATTGGGCACTGATTATGAGAACATCGGAATGGTCAGAGGCGTCCTAACCAGGGTGACTCCATCCTGAATAAAGGCTGGATAAAGCCAAACCTGCTGGGGGACATTCCCTGGGGGTTGAGCACTCTCCGTCACAAAATGTTTATAGTTGAGGGAACAGGTTGACTACCTACGTAAAGAACTAAAACTTACGGAAATGTCCTGGTATTTGAAGAACAAAAAGCATTCCTAGTTTAAGAATAGGGTTCGCTTTAGAGATAACAACAACACATTCATAAATTCTTGCTGAAATCAATAGTTGCACAAGAAAATAACTATTAATAGCCTGTTGCAAGCTGATCACAAATCTTTGTAATAAATTACACTCTTCTTTGCCTTAATATGCTATATAGGCAAGCGTTACGTTTAAGGTGCTCCTTGCTTTTCGAGGACACCCTACTCTGTAATAGTTTCTAATAAGCAGTTTTAACTTTACTCTGCGACTTGCCCTGAATTCTTTCCCATGTGAGATCCAAGAACTCGCTCTTGGCATCTGGGACAAGACCCCTGTTTTTTGTTTGTTTGTTTGTTTGTTTTTGAGACTCGCTCTGTCGCCCAGGCTGGGTTGCAGTGGCACGATCTCAGCTCACTGCAAGCTCCACCTCCCGGGTTCATGCCATTCTCCTGCCTCAGCCTCCGGAGTAGCTGGGACTACAGGCACCAGCCACCATGCCCAGCTAATTTTTTGTATTTTTAGTAGAGACGGGGTTTCACCGTGTTAGCCAGGATGGTCTCGATATCCTGACCTTTGTGATCTGCCCGCCTCAGCCTCCCAAAGTCCTGGGATTACAGGCATGAGCCACCGCGCCTGGCCAGCAAGACCCTTTTTTAGATAACTGGGTTTAAAAGTACATCTAAGGAGGCTGAGGCAGGAGAATCGCTTGAACCCAGGAGGCAGAGGTTGCAGTGAGCCAAGATTGCACCACTGCACTCCACCCTGGGTGACAGAAGGAGACTCCATCTCAAAAAATAAAAAATAAATAAAAATAAAAGTACATCTATGCCAACCGGGAGCCTGGTATAACTTCTCCAGGCATCCGTGTATTTGAGGTCTGTGCGAGTGTTTGTCTGTTTAGTATGTAAACTCGTGTAACCACCACCGTAAGGAAGACACAGCAGCTCCGTGACCAGAAGGTTCTGTCCTGAGGCCCTTTTATAACCACAGAACCCACCAGCTTCTGTCCCTTCCTTAACTCCTGGCAACCACTCATCTGCCTTCCACTTCTATAATTCTGCCATTAATAACTTGTTACTTTATTTCACATAACAAGTAGTGACTTAATTGCAGATAAAGGGAACATTCATGTTTGTGCTTTTCTTGTCATTGCTTCCTTGTGTGAACCTTTCTCTACTTAGAGGGAATCATATCGAGAAGTACAGTTTCTGTTTGGAGAGAATGGAAAGAGAAAAGAAAAATAAACACAATGGTCTCAATGTTCGAAAAAGCATGGAGTGGATATAATGACCTAAACCTAAACACCCTTCTGCACAACAGACCTACAGATACTGACGGAAATGTCACAAGCTTCCTTCTAAAAGCAGTGCAGAACTCCTAATAAAGAATGGAAATCCCCAGTCGGTGGGAGTCAAGAGAGAGCCAGCCGGGATGCTGAGTCCGGGTCCTGGGGCCCGGCCGCTGCCGGGTAGGGCAGAGCAGGTTCTTGGGGAGCACAAACTTGGGTTTTAATGTCACACAGGATCAGCAGATGAGGAAGCAGATGAGGAAGTGAAAAGTCACTGGCATTGCAGCTGAGACCCCCTAAAGAAAAGCCAAATTCTGGAAGGACTCACTGAGAGGAAGAGGACTAGGAAACACTGCATAGGAGGCCAGAGAAGCCAGACCAGCCCAGAGCTCCAATCAGGAAGAGTAAAAAAGAGACTCAACAAGTTTAAGTTCATACATGGTCATACAGGCCATGTTTTCTGAAATAAACGTAATGTAGGAAAGTAATTGTATGACGAAGTCTAAAAACTAGGCTGGGCACAGTGGCTCACATCTGTAATGCCAGCACTTTGGGAGGCTGAGGTAGGCAGATCACTTGAAGCCAAGAGTTTGAGACCAGCCTGGCCACCATGGTAAAAGCCCATCTCTACTAAAACTACAAAAAAATTCGCAGGCATGGTGGCACACACCTGTAATCTGACCACTCAGGAGGCTGAGGCACGAGAATCAACTTGAACCAGGAGGCGGAGTTTGCAGTGAGCCCAGATCGCACCATTGCACTCCAGCCTGGGTGACACAGTAAGACTCTGTCTCAAAGAAGTCCAAAAACTGTATTTGTAGTTTGAAAACATAAATAATTGATACATCAAAAGAAATAATAATGGAAATGATAAAATATTTAGAACTGAAATAAAACCTTCTGGGACATACCTAATGCAATAGTTAGAGGGGCCTATATAGCCTTAATTGCTTATATTATTCATAAAGGGGGAAGAAACCTAAACATCTGTTAGCTAAATATTGAATGAAATAAACTGGGGAGGGCCGGGCACGGTGGCTCAGGCCTGTAATCTCAGAACTTTGGGAGGCCGAGGCGGGTGGAACACGAGGTCAGGAGATCAAGACTATCCTGGCTAACACGGTGAAACCCCGTCTCTACTAAAAATACAAAACATTAGCCAGGCGTGGTGGCACACGCTTGCGGTCCCAGCTACTTGGGAGGCTGAGGCAGGAGAATCACTTGAACCCAAGAAGCAGAGGTTGCAATGAGCTGAGATCTCGCCACTACACTCTAGCCTGGGCAACAGAGCAAGACGCCATCTCAAAAAAAAAAAAAAAAGAAAAGAAAGAAAGAAATTGGAGAAATAACCACATAGTAAATCAAAGAAAGTGACAGGAAGAAAATAATAGATAGCAGAAACTAACAAAATCAAAATAAATAATCAAAAGGTGATTCTTTGAGAAGACTAATAAAATAGGCAAATTTCTGAAAGTTTGACCAAGGTTGAAAGAAAGGAAGGAAGAAAACAATGTTAGGCATGAAAGGGAAATGTAACTACTCACCACACTTCCTTTAAGTTTTCAAATCTTGAAGAATTTTGGAAACATATGACAATAATAACAATGGAAGGTAAAAGAAAATCTAAAAGGTGATGTTACATTAGAGGTTATATTAGAAATAATTAGTTATAATTCAGCAAAAACAGACTTAAATCAAAAATTGCAATCAAATAGGATGAAGTTTGGGAGGGAACGCAAAATTTTGATGCCTTCTCCCCGTGGAATCTGAACACATCACCCTCCCAGGGCCAGGACATCAATCGATGCATTCATCAGCTCCTCTAAAGAACTTCCACCAAGCCTGTGCTGCAGTGTTTTTTATTGATGTGTCATTATGTGGGCATGAGATTGATTAAATTTATTAAATTGGTTGATTGACCTCAATCTCTGGTTCTCTCCTCCATCCCCATGGTTGTGATCAACCCAAGTCCCAACTTTCTAAGCAAGTGCTTGGTCCTTCTGGTGACCAGCCCCCATCCTGAAGCCATCTAGGGGCTACCAGGGGTCATTAGCATCACAAAGACATTCCTATTGCTCAGGACATTACAAGGGTTTCTGAAGCTCTGTGCCAGGAACTAGGGACCAAGAACAGGTATCTATTAGCCTCATTTAACAGATGAACAGATACATTTTTGTTACACCACACATGGCAAGCCTGGTAAGTGGACCCTTCCCCAAGAAGGTATGTAAGTAACTAGGAACTGGGTGGGATGTTTAATCCTCTTTCATGGAAGAGGAAAGAATAATTGGAAATAATAATACAAGGCATGACAAGAGAAAAAACTTAAAATCCCATGTTGAGGCCGGGTGCAGTGGCTCACAGCTGTAATCCTAGCACTTTGGGAGGCCAGTGGTGGGCAGGTTGCCTGAGCTTAGGAGTTCAAGACCAGCCTGGGCAATAAGGCGAAACCCCATCTCTACTAAAAATACAAAACAATTAGCTGGGTGTAGTGGCAGGCGCCTGTAGTCCCAGCTACTTGGGAGGCTGAGGCAGTAGAATCACTTGAACCTGGGAGGCAGAGGTTGCCTCCAAAAAAAAAGAAAATCCTATGTTGAACATGTTATGTTTGAGAGGTTTGAGTGACATCCAGATTAAGATGTGAAGCCGAGTGGGGGGTGTGTGTGTGTGTGTGTGTGGTCCAGACGCTGCATGAGAACAAACCAGTAGGTGTGTGTGTCCTTTACGTATCGGGAACTGATAAGCTCACCTGGAAGGAAAAAGCAACACAGCCCCAAGCTTTAGCCATAGGAAACTCCAAACATTAGATCTGCTAAATGTAGAGAAGCTGTGTGTACGGTCAAAACAAATACTTCAGCCGAGTTAAATTTAAAGGACCTTCATTGGGTAATTAACGGTGAATCGGGCAGCCCCGAGAATCACAGCAAATTTAGAGAGACTCCAGCACAGCCACATGGTGGAAGATCTATAGACCAAACAACGGGAAGTGATGTACAGAAATCAGGGGTAATGTACAGAAACAACTGGGTTGGTTACAGCTCAGCATTTGCCTGATTTAAACACAGTTTGAACACTCAGCAACATATAAATGGTTGAAGT